AATTACTATTTTATAAAATATATCAAAAAATATAAAATAAAAATTCATCTCAAATTATAGGATTTCAACCTATAATATAATATAACACATATAAACCCTTATTTGTGAAGTGAAAATTTTTTTCCCAAGTATTTAAAAAAAAAAAAAAAGAGTTAAGGTATTTGAAGTATCTAAAATTTAACCAAAAAAAAAAAAATTAGGGCAATGAAAATTAAAAGAAAATTTTTGTAAAAATTTCTATTAGATCTTCTAAAATTAAGATTTTCATTTAAAACTTAATGGCAGTAACTAATAGTAGGATTTAAATTTGGTAATTTTAAAAAAGTTGAGGACTATTTTTAGTCCAAATGAAAGGCTAAGATAATATTTAATATTTATGATAAACATTAAAAACTAAATTTGATATATATATATATGAATGATTTCGTAGTAAATTTTATGTATCTGATTTATTACTAAATTTGATAGTTTGGACACTAAACTGATGGTACATCCATCAAAAATTCATATAAATATAGGAATTCTCCCTCAATATTTTTCTTTTCTTCAAGTGTAAGTCTAACTAGATTTGATTTCTTCTTTGAGAGTATAGATAATAGGATTTCAAGCTATAACATATATATAAACTCTTATTTGTAAAGTAAAAATAAAATAAAATAAAATATTTTTTTAAGAAAAAGAGTTAAAGTATTTAAAGAATCTAAAATTTAACAAAAAAAAAAAAAAAACTAGAGCAATGAAAATTAAAAGAAAATTTTTATAAAAATTTTTATTAGACCTTCTAAAATTAATATTTTCATTTAAAACTTCATGTTTGGTTCAACTTCCAAGTATTTAAGTTTTTTGACACTATTCATGTTTCATGAGTTTAAATTTCTCTCTTAAAAACTTACATTTTAAAACTTTTTTTTAACCTTGAAAAAACTTTAAATAGTAAAAACTCAAAATTTTCAAATCTAAATCTTTCATAAACTTTTTTTTATTCACTTTTCACTATCTCTAAAAGTAATTTTTAAATTTTCCCTCCAATAAAAATTTAAACTTATCACCCATGAACAGTACAAAAAAAGTAAAAACTCTTACAAGTTAACCCAAACATGCTCTTAATCGGAGTAGGCTTTAAATCTTATTTCTTACTTAGATTTGATAGTTCGCACACTAAATACGTCCATCAAAAATTGATATACTATACCAAACATAGGAATTCTCACTCAATGTTTTGCTTTTCTTCAGGTGCAAGTCTAACTAGGTTTGATTTCTTCTTTGAACATAGATCATAGGAGTTCAACCTATAACATATATATAAAAACTCTTATATGTAAAGTAAATTTTTTTTTAAAAAAAATTTAAAAAGAAAGAGTTAAGGTATTTAAAGAATCTAAAATTTAACCAAAAAAATTTAGGGCAATGGAAATTAAAAGAAAATTTCTATTAGACCTTCTAAAATTAAGATTTTCATTTAAAACTTAATTAATAGCACTAACTAATGGTAGGATTTAAATTTGATAATTTTAAAAAAATTTGAAGACTATTTTTAGTCCAAATGAAAGGTTAAGATAATATTTGATGTTTATGATAAAAATTATAAACTAAATCTGATATATATATATATGTATATGTATCGGACTTTATGCTAAAATTAATGTATCTGATTTCTTACTAGATTTGATAGTTCGGACACTGAACCAATGCATGGTTCGTCCACCAAAATTTGATATACCATATCAAATATAGGATTTCGCACTCAATATTTTGCTTTTCTTCAAGTGCAAGTCTGGCTACATTTGATTTCTTCTTTGAGCGTAGATATTATATTTTCTTTTGGTCTTTTATATTCACCCCATAATGTTTCTAGCTGTGCCACTTTAAGTTTACATATTTACTTCGGTGATTGAGAAAAAAGAAAAGAAAAGAAAAGAATAATTATGGATTGAAACACCATATACAATATTTATGGTTTTTCTTTTGTTGGCCTTCATATACATCTATGCTTCATAAAACTATTCTATCCTCGTTTATACGTTAGAATAATAGAAGTAAATTTAGAATATGAGAATTTAATTTTTTTTATAAATTAAAAATAAAATAACTAAGTAAAATCACCCATCAAATCTAGTAAGTGGGAAAAACGGAGGGAATCTACTATACCAAACCATCTAGCTAGGATTGTTTCCTTACTCAATGTTTACCTTTTCTTCCAGGTCTCTCTCTCAGTTAAATTTAGTTTGAGTGTGATGCGTAATGCACAAAAGTGCTCATTGGTCGTGGTAAAAAGGTAAAACAAATTGGTCAAATGTCGTTTCGGCTCCCTTAGACTTAACAGCAGGTATAACACAGAAAAAACAGCGTTGTAGAAGTCGACGGAAGATACCGTGTTGTGCTTATAAAGTTGGAAGGTAGCTTTCCCAGTAAAAGTGAGGTGGTGGGTGGAACTGGAATTGTTAATAGTTACAGAAGGAAAGGGAGTTGATTATGAATATTAGGTTATTACCGGGTTGGAACTTGGAACCATAGCCAATGTATGCAGAGACATAGGAAGACCAGCCCAGCCGCTACGCAAAGAACCCAACAGCAAATCTCCAAAAAACGTTGCGGTTGCCGTCCCGTTAATTAGGGTTAGGGTTGGCATAGTTTTTCTCCAAATCCATAACAGAAAGAATGAAGATATATAATTGAATTCTGAAGTTTGCTCCATTACTCAGTTAATAAGTGTATACATATGAAACTATTATACAAGACCAGACCACGAACGACTTTACATATATATATATAACCTACTATAATCATTTAGGATTCATTGAGATAATTAATTAAATGAATTCTAACTTTTCAATGAAATTAATTAATCAATTCCCCGAGTATCTTAGGAGATTGCAATTTCACAGTTCAAGTTGCAGGTCCTAAGTACTTTCAGAAAAAAAAAAAAAGTTCCGGTCCTAAGTTTATAAAGAGTAAAGGTTTAATACCCTTATTTTAGTCTAATTCAGCCCATTCAGTATATTATTGTGAGCTCCAGAGAACGTGCACAACAGTGAACTGTTGATTATCCTTTCTACCCCAACATGGAGAGTAAGAACTTTATACCAAAACCATTACTCGCTAAAGTTAATTGTATTTTTAATTATAAATTTAAGATTTAATTTCTAGTCTTTATTTATTAAAAAAATTGTACAAAAAAATGCGATTAAGAACTAAGAAGGGCCCAATTGCAAGTTTTGGGGTTTTATTTAGGCCCATAATATGTAATTTTCATGGGCTACGAGTGGTCCAATAAGAAACAAAAAGAAAATCTGGAGACTTGGGTCGAAGACTCAAAGTAGAACCATAAAACAGAAGTGCTTTTAAAATTTCGGGGTCGTCTACGGTTCACTCAGTCACTGTGCTATTTGGGGGAGTGGCGGCCGAACTGCCGAGCTCTTATTCAACGTCGGAAAGCCACCTCGCCGTGCCGTCGCCATGGGGTAAGCTTTCATGTCTCCGATTCCACATTCTTAGTTCATCTTTAACATCTGTTGTAGAAAGATTACAGACTCCAATTAAAAGGGATTCCTGGCCTTTGCCTTTCTCCGATGACTTAATATTGTGTATCTTTTATGGCGTTCATCTTATTTAAACATTTAAGAGGTTTAGAGCTTATGCCTCTTCACCAAACTGTAAATTATGTGCCCTTCTTTTTTGCTGTTTTTTGTTTGGATAATGTTTGCATCAACAATGAGATGTTAGTAATTATGGGGTAGCATTGGTTACCTATATAATTAGCGGCAAAAACCCTGCGTTTGCACTTAAACTTTTTTAATTTGAGCATTTGACCCCTCATATTACACTATATGATTTTTTAGGAAATTAGGCAAGATTTAACGTTCAAAGATCACGTACAGCACGTGAATTGTTAGTACCCATCATATATTCACATGTCAACGCCAACTGAAACTTTTTTTGACATGTTGACAAATCCAGCTTGCACCCTTTGTGAGCTGGAATTCTACAGACCAAATATTTTTTTTTTTCGTTCCTCACTTTCCTCTTCCCTTTCTTCAACTTCTGCAAATCTCTAACATCTCAATCAATTTATTCACCTAGTCAACCATGGGTTCCTTCGAACCCCAGTCCCTGGGTTCCAAAGAACCCAGGCGTGGGTTCATGAAACCCTCAACTTCTGCAAATTTTTAACATCTCAACCAATTTATTCATTTCAACCAATCTCT